TCTTATCCAAGATAACTTGGCTTGTTTGGGCTATTATACACTTGGATGTGGGAAGCACAGGAAGGCATTTGCTGCTTTATTTCAGATAGCAAAACATCTCAATGTATCCATGGCTCCTGGTACTGTATTACAAATTTTACATAGTTACAGACTGTACAATTCTGTAATGACACTGAGCATTATAAAAAGATGATTTCAAATTATAAACCTTTGCACTGGTCACAGTTCAATATAATTTCAAATCATTTTTTTCAAAAAATAAAATGAAAGTAGAACATGAAAATGTTCTAAATAATTAGGATGTACACATTCAAAGGATACTAAATCTGCAAAATATTTTTGGAAAATTACCATAATTCAAAAAGGGAGGGAAATGATTTGATCAATCTACACAGTAGGATCAAAACACTACAATTGCATTTTGTAGCATTCTGTAAGTCCACATGTTCTCTAGTATCTCCACACTGTACAGTATTAATATTCTTTGCTTTGCAAATAGCTCTATAAAGAGTAATCAAATCTTATGCTTCAGTGTAAGTTGATCACAGTGTCCAGGAAGGAATGTTTCTACCCATATATCATTGCATGACTAGTACAGTGAACTGTGGGGCTTTTGCAGCTTTCTTGGAAAACAATCTGGTTATGATACACTATTGGACAGAAACATACTAGGCCAGCTGGTCCAAATATTAATACAGAAATTCTTGCCTCTGGCATAAGAATAGGTATCATATTGTACAGCAAAGGGAGTTAGTTCAAAGACCAACACATATACTGTAATATCCGGTGACCATTCCAAGAGATTAGTATTACTGTACTATTAAACATAATCTCAAAATGACAGGTTGGACCCAGACTGTAAACAGAAAGCATTCCATAAATGGGATGTTCCTCTTCAGTCCAGTGGAGGCTGCATATGGGAGGAAAGAGGCAGGGAGGCACTTTTCACTCGTGTCACTTTTCCTCTGTAGAGCCCTATATTACAGACTTGCATAATTTCTTGTGCTGATCTTGCATGTCTCTCAACTTTAGTGGGTTTCCACCCAATTTTGGGAACAGTTTTTAAGAGGACTACAAAGTGTAGGAACAATTGTGAAGATCACCTCCCTGGCCCAATCCCTCTCACTGCCCAATCCCTCTCATAGCACTTAAAATTGGAAAGTTATTTTTAAAAAATAATTAATTATGTAATTCATTAATTCTAATAAACTAAGTTAGCTCTAGTAAACTAAACTGAGAGAAAGAAACAAAAAAGGAAGAATTTTCTAGCATGGAAAAGTTTATCTTAACAGTGATACAACTCTTTCTTTTAATATATAGCTCTGCAAAATAGCTGGTTGATTGGTTGCAAGAGGATCTATGTACCACACAGTCATTGCAGTCTCCCAAGCACTTCAGTGACTGGCATGTCCATGGGAGATTTTGGACTTTATTGAGGGTTCACATGTAATTCATCCTCTTCTTTGGTGTCAGCAACTCAGTCTACTCACTGCATTACCTTTTTGGTTTTTCCCCCCTCAATTCAAATTGCTCACTGCCTTTAAAAAATCTATATATGCCAAATGGAATTCAAAGGATTCAATATGGTATCGCTCTGCCTTAGAGGTAAACAATGATTCCTTGCTCATTTCCAGATTTGCTTTGGAATCACATAAATATCCCTGAATCAGTCATATTTTGCAGGTTTGTCCAAATATAGTACACATGCATAGTATAAAGCATAAGATGATCACTAAATAAGAAATAGTTAATCATATGAGTGTTAGTCCATCAGTTCAATGCACAATTCAATTCAATTTGTCCATAAGTAAAAAGAACAGTACAGGGGAAGCAATCCGTTGTGATTTTGGGCAAGTTGTTATGACCTGAAACATAACAGAATAACACTATTGCAATATTTAGGTCTGAATCAATTCTACAAGCATAGTTTTCAGAGAACATGAACAATTCTGTTTTTCAGAGTGCAAGGTTCATTTCAGGTTTGGTGCTCTCAGTCTTAATGACATTGATTATCAACACACTTAAGAACTTGCCTGTACATGTGAAACAGAGAAAATAACTGTAAATGTTCACATACAGAAGGAAAAGTATTCTTAATAATAATATTTCTTTAATTTATTTTTAAAATGATCATAAAGGGTCAACCTTTCCATGGATCAAAAGAGTTAAACACAAATTAATTTAACACATGAATTAACACTGTGGCCATAAAGCAGCATGGTGTTACATGGCTTGCTTAATAAAGGTTTAATATATGAAAGTCTGCATGGAATGGAGATAAACATTACTACAAAGCTGCTGCAGATCACTCACTGAAAAATACAGCTAACTACATCTGGAAGTTGGAAAATCTGTAACACTATGAGGCGTTCACCCTTATTATGTTAAATAACCATGCATTATTGTTTTATGCTGATGTGTTGGGAGGTGGGGCAACTAGAGATGTTAAAAGGCAGAGCCTGAGAGGAGAGGGGGTAGAATTCAATCAGAGTTAGAGAGTCAGAGAGAGAGATAGTTTGGGAATCGGAGAAGTGATTAGTCTGAGGAGTGAGTAGTAACCTGTAAGATAATATAGAAGATTGTTATTGATGCTTGATGAACCTGAAGAAGATACTTATGTATTATTATAGAAACACCTGTAATAAATAAACCTGCTTTATTCAAAAGAGAGTGATGAATGGACCTTTATCTTTCTTAAGTAAAGTACCTTGATTTAGTGATCAACTGATGGCAGCGTGTGGAAATTTTTGTTTGTTTGTTTGTTTGCCTTCGTGAGGTCTCTGTTTTGGAGACACAAACAGGGGCCACAAAGGGGCAAATGTCACACACCATGCTGCAACTTTATGTAGAGATGGCCATACATTGTTCAGTGCTAGGTGATCCCCAAACACATGGGGAATGATGTGTTTGGGCATACCTGACTCTATAGGATTGCAACCATACTTGGAAGTCATTCCTATTGAACTCAGTTGGTGAGTCAAGTGTGCAATGTGGCCATTATTCTCAAAAGAGTGCCTCACAGTCCATAACTAGTCTCCCAGATCCTCCATCCTTTTTCTAGGTGGGGAAAAAGCAATTATACTAAATATTATCCAGGGGACAGAGAAATATCCTAGTACCTTCTTGAGATGTGGTAGGACTTAGCAGTACTAGTAATAGGAGTTACCCCCCCAGCTCCCCTTTATTTTGTTTGCAGAAGTTGGAAATATGGTGCTGGCAGTGTAGCTACCATTTTGTACCCTCTACAATTAGTATTTTCCCGTCGTATTGTGTATAAGGAGGAAATATCTGCTGCCGCCACTCCAACAGCAAAGAATACTCTGTACGGTGTGTTTTATTCAAAATAAAATGTTTATTTTTCTCTGTTAAAACCTGTCACAGAAATTTTGGCATACTTTTTGCTCATACCTTCCTTCCTTCAAGATTCCAATTTATTGGAAATCCATCAGCATATTGACTCCCACTCACCCACCTGCCACATACACTTTAATCCTCTTTTCCTAAGCAAAGCATGCTCTGGTCCTTGCAGGGATATTAGCCTCATAACATTGGCCTTCTGGACACTTTTATCTCTTCACAGCCCCAGAGACAGCCTATTAGCGATTTCCAAATGCCACTCCAGAGGGTTATCACTGGGAGTCAGTTGCCACAGTCAGCCTTCGGATTGAAAACTAGTGCATCAAAGCAACCCAACAGAAAGAGCTTGGGCATGCCGCCACCCCCTCTGCAAAGACTGGTTCTTTTAAAGAACATTTTGCATTGAGATTGCAGGAGGCCATGCAGGAACATTTTTATAAGAGATTCATTTTATTATTTTTACCTTAAAAATATGCCTCATTTTTCTATGATAAAAATGATGTTTCTTCCCAAGTAATACTTAATATTAGGGCTGATGAAAAAAATTTGTTTTGTTCCTTTAGTCACGTTGGTGTCATATTTTAAGTGGTTTTACAGTACTACATACGCTCATAATCTTTTTTTAAAAGTCTCTCAAAATATTAGGGTGAGCAAACACTTGTTTTGTTTGGCTGGGATATCTCAGGAACAAGAAAACAGTTAAAAGCATGTGCTTGCATTTCATGTGTATATTATTCCCACGTTATAACTTGAGTACTGTAATTAAAAGAAAGCAGACGTCCAAGACCGTTAGTTGCAGGGTGTAACATTACCTTAACTGCAACACTTCTGTTGCAGTATACTTTTTTTTGTTTTTTTAAAGAGAAAAACCAGAAAGTGCTGTCGGGCTTTAAAAATATAACGCATTTATTGCTGCATTGTGACGATAGCCCACAAAACCTTAGAAATCCGCTAGCCTTTAAGGGCCCACAAAGCTTTTCCCCTCAAAGACAGGTGCCCGTTCGCACCCTAGCCTTGAGTGTCTACAAAAACAGCGCGAGACCCAACACCCCTTTTCCTAAAAAGATGGTGGGGGTGGCGGCCGTAAAGGATGCAAAGGGCGCCGGGAGGGGCGGCAACAGGTGAGGGGCGAGGGGGGGGGAATCTCCAAGCCAGGGGAGGGGGAGGAGCAGTAGCGAGAGCAGCAGCTGCTAAGTCTCCCAGGAGGGCCCCTTGTTTGAAAGGTCTCCTAGCAACCGCGCGACCAATGGGGTGCTGCGTGAGGGGGGGAAATAGAGGAGGGCGGGGTACCCGAAGAACGCCGCCGGGCGCACGCGTGGGAGGCGCTGGGTCGCTTGGTGGCAGCGCGAGGGCG